TTTTTCTGCCAAGGATACAGGACGGATGCACTGCATCGAAGGAAAGATGGACGGGGCAATGTACTGTAAAATCTTGGATGAGAACCTAATTTCTTCAGTCAGGGCACGAAAAATGCATTGCGGTTGGGTCTTCTAGCAAGACAACGACCCTAGGCATACGGCTAAGGCAACAAAGGAGTGATTCAAGAAGAAGTACATTAAGGTCATGGAGTGCCCTAGCCAGTCTCTGGACTGTAATCCCATAAAAAACCTTTGGAGGATAGCTTCGTCTATCCAAGCGACAGCCTAAAAACCTTAAAGATTTGGAGGAGGTCTGCAAAGAGGAGTGGATGAAAATTCCTGATGATCTGCATGCAATCCTGGTGACCAACTACAAGAAACGTTTGACAGCTGTGCTTCCAAACAATGGTTATTCCACCAAGTACTAAAGCATGTGTTCCAAGGGATTAAATATTTATTTCCTGAGATGAATGACAGATTGATTTGTAACTGTTACATGATGATATTTTCTCGCTTGTTTTGTTGATAATCTATCTTTTGCTGGTAAAATAAACCTACCAGTGAAATTATAGACTTTTCATTTATTTATTAATGGATCAACTTAGGAATTCAGCAGGGGGGTCAAATAATTATTTCCCTCACTGTAAATGTTTACATTCACATTTACATCTATTAATTTAGCAGACATTTGTACCAAAGGGAACATTACAAACATACAGCTGTCGTGGAGTCGACTGGGCATGAGAACTAGGCTGAGCTTCTGATGAATGCCCACCATTGTGAAAAAATAGTGTACTAAAGTATTTACTTAAAAAATACACTTAGCACAAAAAATATACTTGCAGCAAAGTCTATTAAGTATGGTATATCCCTAAAAAATGTACTAAAGTGTATTTGACTACAGACATACATTGAAGTGTGCTTCAGTGTACTTAATTATTTTTAAATGCAAAATATATTTTCTAAAAGTACACAGAACTATAATGTCAGTGTATTAAAAAATATGTGTAAAGAGAATGCATTTTTATTACAATTCTAGTGATCAAAGCACACTAAATACACTTTAGTACATTATTTCTTCACAAGGGCAGGCACAGCTGTGAGCAGCTTCAGAGCAAGAGCTACACAATGCATTTCAAACATAGCAAGAAACTAATGGGGCAATGCAGTCAAAAGACAAAGTACAACACCGACGGCATTCAGCGACCACGAAAGACCAGCCAGGGGAGATAGAGAGGTGTGGGGTTGGGGGTTCCTAGGACACAGGGGTCTTCATGTGTTTCTGAAGGCCAGATGTAGTTTGGCAGCTCACTACACCACACATGAGAAATGCCTCCAGTCATAGAAATATAGCAGCATTATTATCATGGTTGAGATATTGTGTTATGAATTGGATGTTACCATACTGCCATCCCTGGTTAAAATGCCATCTCTCTGGATTCCTCTGAGTCCCTCCCAAAGACACACAGATCTGCTGACTCAGTATCGCCCTCAGAGTGTTGATGTGAGTCAGTACATCCTGTAATGGGTCCACCTCATTGCTGACCCAGGTCTCGTCGGCCAAAACATACACAAAGACCAGCTGAAAGTAACGCTGAAGATGTTACATTGTGCCGGTGGGCCTGGAGAAGGTTGCAGCTGATACACCTACATGGTGTTCCTTATGCCAATAAAGGATCAATCATCTAGTGAAAAAAGTGAACATAACTCAGCAAGATTATTCTGCCGCACACGCCTCAGCCACCTGATTTGAGCCTCTCCTGTCCCAGCTGCAGCAAGATCTGTGCCTCCAGCATGGGTCTTCAGAGCCTCTAACAGTGGCATCGCTGTCAGCCGCCATAAACCCTGTCAAATTTATGCATTATCTGAGTTTGCAATGAGCTGGTAACAGTAATGTCCAGCTAACAGTAATGCTAACAGTAATGTCTTGCTAACAGTAATGCTACCAGTAATGTCCCGCTAATAGTAAAGCTAACAGTAATGTCCCGCTAATAGTAAAGCTAACAGTAATGTCCTGGCTAACAGTAATGCTAAGAGTAATGTCCTGGTTAACAGTAATGCTAAGAGTAATGTCCTGGCTAACAGTAACGCTAAGAGTAATGTCCTGGTTAACAGTAAAGCTATTTATGCCCTGTGCTTGCTGATATAAGCTGTAGAGCACAATGTCTGTGTGACACTTCAAATGCTGCTGGGATGGGCTGGAAGCACCTGAAGGTGTCATATGATACCGTGAAGGATGAGGTTGTGCCATGGATGGAACCCCAAGCAGCTAGTTTTACTTTCTCGAGAACTGGAGCATGGGCAGTCCCCTCGAGTGGCTGCCAGTGCTTTGCTCCTCACCTCTGAGGCCTCACACCAAATCCTGGAGAAAGTGCAGGTTTCTGGATGCTGCACAGCACAGCACCCTCCCACATCCCCATCCTACCTCCACCCCTTACTCCATCCACTCCGCTTACCTATGCGAACCCTCCTCCCACATCCCCATCCACTGCACCACTGCACTGGCTGGCACCATCTGGCCCAGGGAACGATGATGGTAATGTCAGTAGGTCTTCACATAGACAGACAGATATTCAGCCTCTGCTCTCTTCCATGGAGCCACACTGGAAGCTGAGGGATCCTGTCTTGGGAAGGCGGAGGGTGAGACATGCGTGTTCACGTGTGCGCCTTCCAAACTCCGCGCCGTCTCCCACCGAGCATGAAGAATGACAAGACAGCCACACCCAGCAGAGTGTGCGGATGGAACGTCTGCTCCCCATGGCCGCTAATTAAAATGCTAAGGAGGGCAGCTGCCCGTCCTCCTCATTAACACGTGATTAGCGCACAGAGGGAGAGTTCAGCACTTTATCATATGCACAATGTACATGCTTATATTTAAATAAATACAAATATATACATTTTTACTCCTGTTAAAAGACAAGTTTCTTCCACAGCCTGTATGCTGCTCTGGCAGATGTCACAGCATACCAGGCCTGTGTATCTTTTATGACAGAGGGACCTGGGGGGGGGGGGATGTGGACGTAATAACAACAGGAGGAAGCAGGGAAGAAAAAAAAGAAAAGGGTACAGAGAGTCCAACAAACCCTTTGACTGAGGGAACATTTATTGCACGAGAAATACAAACATGCAAGAAGCTCAACATGATTCATTAAAGATCAATAGAATAAGAAGCCCTTGGTGATTCTGGAAATGTTTCTAAATCTTGACAGTATTTCTTTAAAATAAGAGTAGTTTATATTTTAAAATATATATTACGATCTTTAAACTCCGACCTAGTTACAGTCACAACGAACAAAGAGGATGCAGGAAGGGCAGCTTGACCTCGACATCGTCTCGGTTGGGAAAATCAGAAACTTTCAAAAACAAGAATGTCAGATATTCACCATGAAACCAGCGGGTAAAACATGGAGAAAAGTGTAAAAAGAGAAGCGGCAGGCTGCCCTGCCTCAACTTCCTGCAGGTGTTTGTCAGGGCAACCTCAAAAAAAGCCAACGGGGGCACATTAAGGAGCGCAGGGTCTCCCAGGCAGAGACTAGGATCACGCAGCATAAGCACACCTTCACTGAAATCTACCACTCAGTTTTTCATTTTTATTTATATTCATTTTAAAGAAGCTTAGTAATTGTCTCTAGTTTCATGCTACCACACTGGTAACGTGCATTACCCCTCAAGTAACCCAATGTCTCAGAGTACTAAGAACTTGCAAACACAAAAATAGCACACACACTCACGCAGACATGCTCACAAAAACAAGCTCATAAACTCACACAGACGCACTCACAGAGACACACTCACAGAGACACACTCATACAGACATGCTCACAAACTCACACACACACACACTCATAGACACGCTCACAAACTCACAGAGACACTCACACAGACATGCTCACACAGACACGCTCACAGACTCACACAGACGTACTCACAGAGACACACTCACAGACAAGCTCACTCAATCACACACACAAACACTCACTCAGACAGGGTGACCCACTTTCACTCACAGACACACACATGCTCATTTACTCACACAGACACATACACACATAGACACACTCAATCACACACACAGACACGCTCACACACAGACACAGGCACTCACACGCACAGACAAGTTCACTCACACAGAAACTCACCTTCCCAAAAGACACCTGCCCCTGGGGAGCATATCAGTTACTCCATATACAGTACAATGCACGGTACAGTTAGAGGCCTCTCAAACAAACAAGCAAGCAAGTACACTCTCTCTGCACGATGGTAAGCACAGCCAGACAAACAGGGGCACAGTGTGAAACTGGGTTACACAACAGGTCGACAAATTCCTTGGTTATACGCATATAACGCTACTTTTTGGCAATAACATTTATTGTAAATATCATATGGAATGTGTGTCTCAAAATGTATGAATATTACATCAAATACAATTTAAAACGCTCGTAACGCAGAACACGTTTAAGAAAAATGGTCACGGCGTGAAACATTGTGTATAGGCGTTTACCCATTGGAAAAGGTTCGGCAGACTCTTGGACCACCCCTGAAACCTCCATAAACGTAAACTAAAGCGCAAGGCGAATGCAAAAGCACCAACGCAGCCCCTGACTACAGCTCTCTTATGTACAAACTCGCGTCTGCACTTAGGCAGCCGGACAGATGAGCCAATTCTTCGGGGCGGCAAGTGGCGTGGCTCAGCCGGGCCTCAGCTTTTGCTTCCCCACGGAGGATGAACGTAGCGCGGAGTGATGGATTGATCCAGACGAATGGCTACAGGATAAATGATCCGTCATGAGAGATTTGGCGGCCGTGAGAGCTGCTGCATAGTGTCCGGCCCCTTCACGCCCGCTTATCTGACCCCGGGCGTCACCTACGGAGCATTTACAACACGGACATAACAGACAGCAGCGATCAAGACTAATCCGCTAATATTACACAGTTACAGTTTCAATTTCATACATGTTTTAACAGTCCCTGACATACTGACAAAATAAACCTTTGCCAGATTTTAAATGTATAATATATTTTTATATATGATTTTTGTCATACAGAATAGTATAAAAAATAATTTTACCTCACACAAATTGAGCTTTAATATTAAGACAGAACATTTTATGTAAATGTATATATTATATAGAAGCAATACAAGACATCTTAAAAACTTAAACTTTAATAAACGAGCTAAACTAGCTAATGCATTTCAAGACAGCTCCTCAAATCGAAACGCTCAGTGAACAAAGTCTGCCGTCTCAAAGTGCAAAGGAAGACAATGATTCAGTCGGAAATTGAACAGCATTTTTAAAAGGATTACCCCAAAATCCGCTGACACGCGGCGAAACGCGCACTCAATTACTACATTAATCCCCTTTCGGATTCCAAAACATTTTCGGTAAAGTCGATTATATATATCAGGTGCGCCCTTTGCGAGAATGAACTGCACAGCCGAAAGGGATCTCTCTTTAAACTTAAAAAGGAAAGCAAGGCTGACACGAGAGCTGGGAATCGCAGCTACACTGGGGACACAGAGCGCTATCCCGCCGCCCTGCGCCGAAGGCATCCCGGTAGAAGCGCCCCCCTGTGCGCCCCAGGATTCCGTCTCAAGGGCTGCCATTAATACCGTTCATTAAGACAGCTTTCCCTTGTAAAATACCCCAAGCAGGACGCACCTATAGGTAGACAGCACGCTGTTTAACATAACTAGGGTCTGCCAGGGCTGTCTGAGTAGGCAGAGCGACGGGTCATCTCTCAGACGGTGCTTTAACAGCCTGTTAGGTGCTATAGCAGATACCTGATGAATGGTGGCAAAGGTAGGAATGCTGCAACACACACCTTCTCCGCGCGTGCTGTAACCTCTTAAAACCTCCCTAAACCGCATCAACTTTGCTCCTGTAATATTAAAACTAACCTTAAAAAACAGACAAACAAACATACAAAGAAAACAACGTTCCAGACACCACGTCCGCAGGAGAGATCGGGTGGGTTTTTTGCATGAAATACGTGCTGACAGTTTGCTCTACTTTGGTGTGACCTTCCCGTTAAACCGCCAGGACCTCGTTAAACTGCTAGGACCTCGTTTTATCGGCTTTGCTGGTTTAACAATTTTAGAAAGAGGCTCAAACGCTTCAACCGACAAACATTTGGCTTAAGCAGAAATCAAAGCTCCCTCCTGTTATAAAAGTAAAAGTAAGACTTGCTAACCTAATACATCTCACATAGTTTCCTAAATGAGGCGTATGAAACACTGCTCAGCCTCCTTATATCCTCTAAACGTGGTCTACATTTCCTGGAATTGCCCCCCCCCCACCCACCCAAAAAAAATTAATAAATAAAAAAGCTCACTGTCTGCAGGCTGGCCACCCAGAGTAGTGGTCCTCACATTTCTACGCCTCCCTCAGCAGACAGAGGACCTGCTGGCTGGGGGGGAGGGGGGTTACCTCTCCCCCCGCAACAAGCCCAGATAGCTTGATGTTATCAGCCCCATATGCTGACACGGTCTGATACGTCCAAGAAGCGGACAGAACGACAGTAACCTTTTGCTTATGCATGTTTTTTTTAGCCAGACGCTAGAAAAAAATTATTACTGTTTTTTAAAAATATTTCCTTCACACGTATGTCCACTGAATATTATTCTTGTATGCAAGGTGGAATTAAAGACAGCGCTCATTGTTTAATTTCCATCCTTATAGTGCCCCCTGGTGGGCAATGTTGGCAGAGTTCTCAGTGCTGGGCCTTCCTGCACCCTCACTCCTTCAGATTCTCCTCAGCCACGCCCTGGGCAGACAGCTCTGCCAGCACGTTGTCCATGTATTTGGGGTCTGGGTATCCGTGGCCGGTCAGGTTGGAGCCAAACTCGGTCTTGTGATGGATCTCGTTCCAGACCACCGTGTCCGACTCCCCTGTGGTGCTGGAGGTGCCAATGGTGAAGATGAGCCGCCGGTCCCACGCCATGATCAGCAGCCTCAGGACCTGAGCCCCGCCCACCAGTGAGGCCGTTACACACTGTAGTTCAGAAAGCTCTTGCCAAACATACTTTTAGCTAGACTTGAAGGGTTGATGTCATTGCTCTCGTGGACCAGCTCACAGATCTCATCCATGGCTCCCTCCCTCACCCCCCATGCCAGAACGGACGAGCTCACCTTTCTGCCCTTCTCGTTGTCTGGGAGATAGCAGTGTCTTGGGAAACCCCTGGCGCTGAACTTCTTCCCAGGGTTTGGGTGCTCAGTGGTCTGGTTGGCAAAGCAAAGCAGGACAGTAAGGAATGATGTGGTCTTCCTCATTCATGATACAAACGGGCCTGACAGCTCCACTCTGACTCACTGTGTCCGTGAACCAGCACTACAGATGCATGCATCTTTTAAATAGCTGCTCAACATTCAGGATAAAGCGCACCCCGCAGCCCTACCTGCTACCTCGACAAGGGCATTAAACCTTATTGTCACACTCTGGTACTCTGGCTGTTTTGGAATATCTCACATTGTGTCTCAAGTTGATCAAGCTACAAGCTGCTTGCTCAGACAATACAGATGGAGTCAAGGTGGAGTTTTTTACTCCAGAAAATTATCCTTTTTTTGGATCAATATTAATTCAATCAAAATCACCTTGTTCATAAGCTGCTGACTTACTGCACATTCCACCATCTGCCTGGACCAGACAGGTGACAGTGCTCAGTATGGCTCGAGGAACGTGCTGAGCAGCGATTTCTAAGCGCTTTTGCGCACAGTGTGTTTCTGGGTCTCTGTGTCTCTGGTCCACCATCAGATAGTGACCTTCAGGAGGTAAGGAAGAAGCCCTGTAACCCACTAGCGTTTATCATCCCTCTCTTCTCCTGGTTGGTTGGTTGGTAATGTGCACTTGGCAAGTGGTACCAGGAATATTCTGTTGTGGGGGCTTAACCATGGTCATGGATATCACCCTGACAGAAACAGTACTCCCCGCATCTGTCGGTCTGGCCCCAGATGAAGCAAAGTGGGTCACCGACCTGGATACCGGCAGGGATGTCATAGACGATGCGGATGGTTTTGGACTCCAGGTAGCCTGGCAGACTGTGCGGGATGACGTGGTACTCCATCTTCCCTGGAGGCTGGGTGCCTGTCTTCTCCCCGTAGATGGCCTTACAGGTGGGGCACTGCAGGCTGCCATCCTGGGGAGGCAGAGAGGATGTCAGGCTCATTACATGGTGCCCCCACCGGAGCATTTGCTGCATGGCATGCAGCAGCAATTATTGGACTCATCCATCCATCATGACTGCGCATGCAGCCATGCAAACAATAACACATAAAGAACACACAGAGGTAACCTGCAGAAGCAATGGAAAGCAAAATCTGCTGAGAGGAGAACAAGCAAACAAGAGACCTCACAGGCCAGCTGCCCCTCCCACAGGCATGCTAAAGTTATACAATCAGAAAGATTAAAAATACCGCCCCCCAGGCATGACAAACCTATACAATCAGAAGATTAAAAATAACAGCAGCGCAGTGGACGCTGTTCCATAGAACGCCACCCCTGAGACACTAATTATAATCTGATTTTGGTTAAGAAACATTCTCTGGCTTTCACTATAATAGACTGATGTGATCACAAGGGTGCGGAAACATGACCTTTCCTGGGGCTTAAACCAGAAACCTGCTCAAGGCCTTAAGCTCCTGCACGCTGCTGCTTGTTTTCATACAGTTCTGGAAAAAATTAAGAGACCACTCCAAATTTTTTAGAATTGGCATCCTGGTTTAATCGTGGTTCTGCTGGCTGAAGACTACAATGAGCGGCAGATTGCTTCCAGGCCCAAAATTTCTGAGACTGCAGTACATACAGTAAGAACAATGTGAAGCAGGAGCCACTGCAAATGGCCAAAAACTAAATGGGTTGAGGGGAGAAGCGACTGCCTAATGCCAGAGATCCGTCAGCTTATCCAACAGTGCCTCATGAATTGGGGGATCACATAAAGTGACCATCACAAAGAATGGGAAACATGCAGGTGTGAAGTGTACTGATAGGACAAGTTCGTAGAGGCAGGACTGAAGACCCATAAAGCAGGAAAAATGTTGGAGCTTACAAAAAAATGTATATTTTATGCAGAATAATACCCATAAATTGAGAAATGACTGAAATTTTTTTTTTGCTGTGGTCTCAATTTTTTCCAGAGCTGTATAATGCCCTTCCTAGCACATCTGCCCTGAAGTGCTGAACATGATAGAGAGTGATATCTGCCAGACAGGACTGGACACTTAGGAGCCCCCCCGGTTTGGGGGCTCCTCCCCTGCCTGCCGGTGCTCACCTTGTTGCCGTTGTTATACATGGCCACCAGGCACAGCAGGTGGTACATGTGGCCGCACTTTCCCAGCTTGCCCACCAGCTCGGCCTTGATACCCTTGTGGTTCAGCAGGCCGTCGTAGCCGGAAGAGGTCACCAGCCTCTCCATGCAGATGGTGCAGTCCTGGGAGAGGTAGAGTGGGATGGGTGGGCATGGATGTAACTGGAGCCTCAGCCCAGAAAAACATGTGGGTCGTTTGGGTCGTCTCACAGAGCTAGGCTGGCTGACAGGCTGCTGTGTGCTGTCACAATGCTGACTTGGAAATGTCTGCCTGAGAACCTGGCTCTGTCACAATACTGACTCTGCACTGTCTGCCTGAGGACCCAGCGCTGCCCACCTGAGAACCCAGTGCTGTCACGATACCAACCGGCACTAACTGCTTGAGAACCTGGCTCTGTCACAATACCAGCTCTGCACTGTGAACTTAATGACCCAGCGCTATCCACCCAAGGACCCGGTGCTGTCACGATACCAACCGGCACTATCTGCCTGAGAACCTGGCTCTGTCACAATACTGACTCCGCACTGTCAGCCTGAAGAACAAGCACTGTCCACCTGAGGACCCGGTGCTCTCACGATACCGACCCAGCATTGTCTTCCTGAGAACTTGGCTCTGGCACAATACCGACTCTGCACTGTCAACCTGAGGACCCTGTGCTGTTACGATACCAACCTAGCACTGTCTGCCTGAGGACCCGGTGCTATCATGATACCGACCCAGCTTTGTGTGCCTGAGAACCTGGCTGACCCCTTGAGGACCTTGCTCTGTCATGATCCAGCCGAGGACCCAGTGCTGTGACATTACTGACCCGGCACTGTCTGCCTGAGGAGGGCCTCAACCAGACGTCCATGATGCAGTGCTAATATTTTAGCTCACCTCATCAGGAATTATTTTGATTTTCTCGGTGTATCTGCGAACCACATCTTCTGGGTTTTTACCTGTGGGGGGAGAAAACACTGGTTGATGTCAGACACACAGACACATACACATGTTTGTATCCATATCTTTGTGGGGACCATCCATTCATTTTTATGGGAAAAACTATAATCCCACCAACCCTAACCGCTACCCAGCCCAGACCTTAACCATAAGTAACCAAACAAAATACAAGAATTTTTAGTATTATAAAATTAAGTTTCCCCTTATGGGGACCAAAAAAGTAGTCCCCACAACATCAAAATATCATGTTTTTATTCCACCGTGGGGACATGAGCTCAGGAGCTGAAAGCAGGTTTGGATTTGATGCAGGGCCCATGGAAGAGAGACCTCTATATCCCATTTCCTCCTAAAGGAAGCAGCATTGACTTGTTTCTGTCCTGTCGCTTACAACACACCTCAGATGCACCTTCAGAGATACACGCTACACAGAGCATCCAGTCATGCCCCCCATGACTCACAGCTCTAAGAGGCTTAACCTTGGCTGTGAGATATACTTCCTGTGTGTCTGTTTTACGCAAAGCTCATAAACTCACAGGCTGACTGGGATAACAGCCCACAGGATACCTAGATGGAAGAGATCTGAGAGCAAGGAAGAGAGCTGAGGGGACAGTATGCTGGCTCACTGCTACAGCACTACCACAAGTACACACAGACACACACAGACATACAGATACAGATACACACACATATACACACACAGACATACATACAGTACAGATACACCACATACACATATCTATCTCCCTCCTATATGCATGTAAATCCCCTCCAACCCTAACTCTCCACTAATGCCCACTCACCCCTCCTCAGGTGCTTCTTCTTGGTCTTGCGACGGATGCCATTGACTCCCGGCACTGGCTTCATGTCGCTCTTGTTGATGGGTGGGGGGTGCAGGATGGGCTTGGGGGCGCGGGTTAGGCACACAGGCAGCCCTGCCGCACACATCAGGATGCCTGTCATACCTGCAGCGTGGCGAGAGAAAAAAAACGGCCAATGGCAGCTACACAGCCCACCAGAAACTGAGGCAGCACCCCTTCACACCCGTGTGCCCCTTACCTGCCAGGGCTGGGTGTACTGGGCCGGAGCCTGTCAGGTTCTTCACAGGGAGGGCAGGAACTCTGCAAAACAGAGACAACATGGAAAAGAAAAAAATTCAAAGTGAGGCATTAGGTAGGTTTTCACATCCCAGGGCCCTGGGGCTGCTTTTGCTTCAAGTGGGCAACCCATGGCTGTGCTATCTGTCTGTATAAAATGGTGGCTACAAGGCACTTCTGTAAAAACTACCAATGGAGAAGAGCGTGTTAATGACAAAGTAACACCAATAACATGGGCAGAGTGTGGTAAACATCAATGACAAAGTCACACCAATAATATGGGCAAGAGTGTGGTAAACATTAATGACAAAGTAACACCAATGACAGGCAGAGTGTGGTCAACATCAATGACAAAGTCACGCCAATGACATGGGCAGAGTGTAGTAAACATCAATGACAAAGTCACACCAATAACATGGGCAGAGTGTGGTAAACATCAATGACATAGTCACACCAATAACATGGGCAGAGTGTGGTAAACATCAATGACAAAGTCACACCAATGACATGGACAGAGTGTGATAAATATCAATGACAAAGTCATGCCAATAACATGGGCAGAGTGTGTTAAACATGGGCAGAGGAACCCGAATTGGGGACCATCAGGAGGCAGCGGGGGAATGACAAACTGTGGGGACATGCCTCACGTGTTTGAGTATTTCCGTGTATGGCTGAAATAGACAACACATGCACACCAACACAGACAGACAGACAGACACACACACACACAGGTTTGTAATTATATCTTTGTGGGGACTCTCCATTCATTTATATGGGGAAAACTCTAATCCCACCATGACAACCTTAACCCCTACCCAGCCCTAACCTTAACCATAAGTAAAAAATGGTCCCCACAATGTCAAAAAAAGGGTGTAATATGAACCTAATCCTAATCCACACACACACACACACATATGGCTAGATCAGAGGGCCTCTCTGTGCTTTGCAAAACAAAGATTCCCCAAAAACACCACAGCTGATGAACACAGCCCAGGGACCAGGACCAGGATTAACCATCACTGTAGCTGCAAAGATCAACCACTGGGGGGTCATGGCACATCAGAAGGCAGCTATATTAATGGACTGCCACGCATCTGCAAGCTTGAGAACAAGCTAAGATGCTAACATGCTACATGCTATCCTGCCTACATTTTTCTTCCCTCAATATCCAGACCAAAATAAAACAAATTCACTCAGTGACACTTCAGCTAGCTACTGCTTGCAAATCTGGCTGGTCCACTTTGCACTTCCCTAGATAAAGCAGGCAGAGATAGCTTCTAGTCTGCGAGTACCTTGGAGTTCCTCCTGGATGGTTCCTTAGGGATGTTAATCCCTTGCTGCGCTGCCTTATAAATAAATAGTTGCCTAGTGTTGCTTCTTTCCCTGGAGGCCCCACATCTGTGTATTCTGTGAGCCGCCAATTACAATTAGTATAAAAAACAGATGAACAAGGCAGCTGATTATAATCGGACCATGATCACTGGCCTCAAAACACAGAAGATACTTCTCATACTGATTGGCTGCCAGGACTGATAGTCAGAGTCAATCTCATCACAGCACAGCCCACTCTGGGGTGCTGGGTTTTGCTCTATAGCTAACGACAGAAGGAGATCTGTTAACATGCAGGCTTAATTAGCTAGAATGTTGATTATAATCAGCTCTATTGCTCTGTGATAGTAGCAAATTCCCCCATTACAACAACAGCAGAATACGGTCACTGGAGGTAAGTTCACACTTGACTCAAACACAGTGGACCGCTGCATTCACATGGCCCTGTATCATGACCTGACCCTGACCCTAACCTACTCTGTTCATATACGGCTGCTGGAACAGTTATTCTCTAAGCGCTGCTTCCTTGCACTGTCAGGTACAGGGGTCTCCAACTTCGGTCCTGGAGAGTTACTACCCAGTAGGTTTTCTATCCAACCTGGCTTCTGATGACCCACACCAGCTAGTTTCCGATATTTACCTGAGAATAGGTGTGGCTCATCAGCAGCCACTTTCATTTAAGAAGCCAGTCTAATAGCACCACAGCTAATCTGCCCGCTTTCTTGGTATGGCCGGTGCACCACTATGAGATTATGCCACTGGTCCAGCAACTTCCCTGAAGAAACTTGGAATTTCCATGCTTACCATCTAGTGGAGAGTAACCACTGCATACACATTAAGGATAGCTTGTAGAACATAAACCTCGGGGTCAAGGATAGCGCATAGAACATAAACCTCGGGGTCAAGAATAGCTCGTAGAACATAAACCTCGGGGTCATGGATAGTTCGTAGAACATAAACCTCGGGGTCAAGGATAACTCGTAGAACATAAACCTTGAGGTCAAGGATAGCTCATAGAACATAAACCTCGGGGTCAAGGATAACTCGTAGAACATAAACCTTGAGGTCAAGGATAGCTCATAGAACATAAACCTCGGGGTCAAGGATTGCTTGTATAATATAAAGATCGGGGTCATGGATCGCTTGTAGAATATGAGCCACAGGGTTAGGGTTAGCAGGTTAAACATAAACCTTGGGGTTAAGGATAGCTCGTAGAACATGAACCCCAGGGTTACGGGTAGCTCATAGAACATGAACCCTAGGGTCAGGCTTAGCAGGTCAAACATAAACCTCGGAGTTAAGGATAGCTTGTAGAACATGAACCCCAGGGTTATGGTTATCAGATTGAACATAAACCTTTTAGGTTGGGGTTTGCTAATCAAACACAATTTCAGTGGTTTCGGATAGCACTTTTAACATAAATCCAAATACAGTTAGCACGTTAAACATACACCCTGGGGTTACGGTTAGCATGCAGAACATAATTGTTCCGGTTTGGATTAGCACGTTGAACATAAACATTTGGGGTTAGCGTTAGCATGTGGCTAACATAATGCTCCTCATAACTTATCTAAACACAAACTCAAGTTAACCTGAAAAAGCCCAATTTAGCTTCCAAGCACTAAAGCATTGTGAGGACGGACAGTGGGGGTGGGGCCTACAGGAGACGAGTGTGTCCGTAACTCCACATTCGCTTTTACAGCCTCCTCTTCCTTGTTAATTCACACTACCAGTGCCCCTACACCCCCTGCCCTGATTTCCCCTTTTGGTCTTAGTTGATACTACCCTGTGGCAGAGTGAAGGCCCCCGTTGCTGGGCGCCTCAGCGTGCCTCCACACGGGCACAGAGGCAGTCGTGTGCCTTGTGCCTCCTAGCCTGTGAAAGTAGGTCAATGGGATGGAAAGGCATTATGGGAGGGAGCCCCCACCATGAGGAGAGAGCCCCCCAGGAGCAGACGGAACCCTGCATGAAGCTTTGCGAATGAAGACTGACTGCCTTACCCTCCATCTTCCTCCTCCTCCATCTTAGCTCCGTGCTGATGATGCCTTACCAAGCTGCTTCCTGTCCCGGCCGCAAACACTGCGCGCGGCAATGGGGAAGTGGAAAGGGGAAGCTTGGGCGGGCCCAGGGTCACATGACTTCCTTCACAACGCCCCCCCCCCCCACCACAAAGTCACAGGCCTTCTGGCCCTGCGGGGGCTCTTGTCAGGACCCAGTGAAGCAGCAGCTGAAAGCATACTCATGCACAGTCCTCCCCACCCTACCATCATCATCAACTGGTGCAAAACTGATGGAGATTAAATGCAAGCAGCATTCTGGCACGGTGGTCAAGAACAGACTGTTTCAGATTAGAGCTGAGGCAGATGCTTCCTGTTCGGTTACGAGCTGAACAGTGTACAGAGGATGCAGCTTTCAACATGCTTTTGGCCATTTTGCTTTTTGTCGCTTTTTATCTCGAGAAAGAAACTACAAAGCAAACCTAGCTAATAAGTCTTACTACAAAGTTGTAATGCTTTTGAAGTATAACATTTAGGGATGTGCATTCCATCATTGAGGCCATTGCGATACACATCTCAATGCATTGCCAATGATCCAAGACATTAAGGATACATATAAAGCAACTACTAAAGCGATACGATTCCCCCCTACTGAGATGCGATGCTATTTAACATGATGCACTGCATCGCTGGGCAAGCCTCCAACTCACGTGAGACGCCAAGACACTTGAGGAATTGGCCACTGACAGCAGTATTATACATGAGAGATATAGCTTAGACAGGGAGACTCAATCTAAATATAAAATTATTGGTCACATTTCTAAATAATAAAGGCATAGGTCGGGTAAAGAACAACAAGAAGAAAGAAGTCAGGTCAGGTTGGGGAGCAGGCACTGGTGCAGCGTGTTGAGATCCCAGTCAGCGACCCCCCCAGGCAAACATATGGTCCAGTCCCACCCTCCAGAAATGGCCATCCATCTGCCACAGCCAGGTGTTACGTGGGTGTCCCCTCGGCCTGCTCCAGCCATTTGGGTCCTCAGCAATGAGGGTCCTGTGAGCTGGATCAGCGTAACCGACGCTCCCTCACAATGCAGGTAATGTGCCTCATTCAGGACTCCTCTAGCAACTGCTTGTTCGACACAAAGTCAAACCAAGGATTCTCCGAAGAGGCACAGTACCGAAGGAGTCCAGTCTCAGTTCACTGGATAGCATCCATGTTCCATAGCCACAGCCATACAGCAAGACAGGGAGCACCAGGACTCTAAAGTTTTGGACCATCCTCTTGCAACGATATCGGGAACGCCTTCTGTCTTTCCAGCCCCCTATGCTCTCTCAATCCATCTGCTGACTTCATAGGAAGAGTCACCAGAGACGTGAATGTCGGTGGTAGGTGAACCTCTCATCGTGGCCGACATTCTCTCTGCAGACAGACATACTGCTGAATGCTATGCCCAAGAGGTCATTAAAGGCCTGGATCTTGGTTTTTATCCAGGACACATGCAAACCCAGACACTCAGACTCCTTGCTCAGTCTCTCAAGAGTCTTGATCAGGGCTGCCATTGACTCGGCAATGGTCACAGCATCATCAGCAAAGTCAAGATCAGTGAATCTTTCTTCACCAACAGATGCCCTACAGCTGCTGGACCCCGTGACCCTGCCCAACACCCAGTCCAGAAGTACTCAACAGAGTAGGAGTAA